TACAAGGGTTCCTATTTAGGGTTGTATTCTAACACAAACCCAGGAATCGAAGAGTTCCTTTTCCAAGTTCGTTTACAAGCTTTCCCCAAAACCCCTACACCCTCAACCACCGAGATCCAAGCAATTCGGGGCTGCGCCAGGTCGGCGCTGTGCCCTTCCCAAAACAGCTGCTGTCCAGATTGAGCCCGAGCCAAAGACAGACAAGATGGACAGGTGCTGTGGGGCAGCAAGGGTGCGGAGGTGGGAGCGTCCTTGAAGGGATCTAATAGGCATTATTATGGTTTAGGGCTTAGGGTTTACAGTGTAGGGGGCTTTGCGGAGGTCGGGATTCACAGGAGCATATATTAGAGTAGCATGAGTATGCTAGGAACTCGAAGAAACAGCATGGGTAAATAGTAAGGCTTCTAGGCTTCTGTATACTAAACGCAAGACGCTCACAGAACCCTATAGATCCCTTCAAAAGCCTTGCTTGTGGGCCTCTTGCTTCCTGAATTCCTAGCAAACCTAGGCAATAATAGACGGTTTAGGGTTTAGGGTTTTGGGGGTTAAGGAATTAGGGCTTGCCAGTCTACTTGGAGGCTCACAAAACGAACTTCCTATATGGTCAAGACGGCTGACTGCAAACTTAGTGTGTAAGCGGTACCCTAACCCTGAATAACCTACCTGTTTAGGGCTCCTTATCATGATTTGCGTATATAAGTCCTTGAAAAAGTAGGTTACTCGGTGTTAATAAAGTAGGTGTTAGGCAGTTATGTTACGGAGCTTAGATTTGTTCAGGGTTTATGGTTAAGGCTCAACTAGCCAAGTGGTGAAAGCTAAAGGGTAGGCTGACGCATCTAGACTTTGGAATGCACGGGCTACAAGGGTTGTAGGGCGAGGTGCTAGACTCCTAGACTTTGCCCGGCAGATACTCGTCGGTTGGTTAAACTTTCCCAAAATCCCTTAATTCAAGAACATACCTTAAAGTATGAACCCCAATATAACGTACATTCCTTACTGTAGGGGACTGTAGGGCTGTTGGAAGGGCTGGGTTCTTAGGCACCGTGGGTCAACCGGAGAGACGACAAGCTGCACGAAACACATGCGTTAGGAAACTACGACTACTTCTCGTTGCCTGCCGCCAATATTCGATAATATTCGTCTACTGTACCAAAGCTGAGCCCTGAAATTGAAAAAATGAAGGAACCAATGTAGGCGCCTGCGTGAATATGGGGACCTTCGGTGCTTCATTCATGGGACCCTGGTCTTATTCGGTTCCCCTCACTCTGAATCTACCATACCTCGGACGGTCTTGGGGTATCCTCTAGTACTGTATACATATACAGACGTAGTAATTAGGGGCCATAAGAATATAATATACCCTGATCAGTTAGTCAGACCCGTACATTATGCCCTTTACCACTCGAAACTCAAGAGCCTCACGAGACCCTCAACCCGAAAACCTTCCAGTTTACCTGGTGCAGCACGAAGCCCTGATGCGAAAGACCTGAAACACCAAACCAGAGCCGAAAAAGAATGGAAAAGGCCTGCGCAAGAATGTGGGAAAGCACATAAAGGGACTACGCTAGAATATGCTGTCTTGTACTGTTTGTTCAGGCCTCTATATAGAGTCCAAATGCCATCCCTCCGCCCACAGACATGCTTCTGACTCCGAAAAAATTGCAAGTGTGGTTGGAGTAGAATCTCCGCGTTTGGGAGAGAGCTATCTTCTCTTGGTGGATAGAGCTTCGCACATCTGTGTTCTTTTCCAGGCTTTGTTGTGCCCCATCAATATATCGTAAGTTCAGCCTCACGCAGAGAACATCAACGTGCAGATCCGTCCCTAAAACTGTGACTTCACGAAGCAGCAGACATAAAACGTGATAACATCATGTTGAGCTGCTTAGCTGTCTTGGGACCCGTCGATGGACGCCCCTGATCTTCAGTTGTCAGAGCCGTAAAACCACCAAGATTGTTGGTTATGTACATATATAAACACAATATGCATATATATATATATACACATATATATATATATACATATATATATATATATATATATATATATAATGTATTCCTCCGGCAACCCCAATAATCAGCAAGAAACACAACATCCTAGACTGCGTAAAACCTGCTCCTGAAACCTTGACTGTGCACCGTAAACCCTAGGGCTGCATGACTGTAGGCTTCCTGCAGTCATGAAGGGGGCTAGATCCGCAGTGTGACAATGAGGGCGTAGACTGTAGGGATTATGTAACCCAGAGGGTCCAAGGCACGTAAGGTTTAGAGTTTTCATTCAGGTTTTCGGGTTTGGTATGTGGGATATTATAATAATTACCACTTATCCCGATCTCAAAAATGTGAATAGATTCAGCGTAAATCCCGCAAAGACCTGTTTGATGGCTCAAGGCTTTGATGTCGGGGCCCTAGGTTTGCTGCGTCCGCAAGCCCACGAAACTTAACCAAATACACAGTTTCAGTCCTGTCGGGTATAATATTATCCCGACACGTATCGAGTGCACTCATTCAGCTAGGGTGGGGCGCTTAAAAGGCATCCGCCCGGCTTCGTAATTTCAGGTTAGAGGCGATGGTCCCCGGTATCAATAAATCCAGGAGCCCCCAAGCACCCTCTAACAGAGCCCTCAAGTACTTAAGTGATAATAAAGGGCAGTTGGGAGGCGGGTCTACTTGGAGGGGCAGGGGACTTAGTAACTCGTGTATAAGTAGGGTCATAATTGGGGTAACTCCATTCAGGGTACTTACAACTCTACTTATAACCTGCTTACTAAGTTCCCTGCCCCTCCAACTAGGATGATACATAGGTTTAAAGCTTCACGGCTTTGGGCTGGTGGTTTGCAGGCTACCCTCGACCCTCAGCCCCAGACCTTCAAACCCTAGACCCTGAGCCCTAATATAGGGGCCTTAATAGGTAGAATAGGGTTTCGGGGCCCATTATATTCTAATTATAATAAGGACCCCCCCCCAACCATGTAGGTAATTATTAATTAAGGCCCCTATATTAGCCTTTGCCAGCGTCCTGATGGATATCAGGACTGGTCAGAGTGCCGTCGCTAAAAAAACAGCCATCTCGGCTCCTCCAGAGAACGTCATTATAAGGGTTTAGGCTTCAAGCGTGTCGGCCTCCTTTGCCTAATAAGATCTTCGGGCTAGAAAAACTGATTCGAGCAACACACAATCACAGACGGTCCAAGTACTCCCTATTATAGGACTTTCGGGCCTTATTTGGTACCGAAAACCATAAATAAGGACTACTTGGACCCTTAGGGAATTAGTTCTAAACGGAACACCCAGACACGGCAGGCAATTTAGGGTCGAGGTAGGGCTTAGGGTGGAGCGATTGGGGCCGTTTGCAGCCAAAGACCTGGGCTGAGGGTGCAAGGATGCAAAATTGAAGTACTTCGGCTGATGGTATAGGTCCTGCACTAGCCAATAATTAGGAATATACCATAATTCCCATAGTCTAGGGTCATTAAAGTAGAAGCCACAAAGTTGGAATATGGCTTCAGGAGGATTAGTGCTAGGATTCCCTTATACTCTACCTTAAGGACACGAGGATAATGATGTTCCAACTTTCTGGCTTCTACTCTAACTGTACTGTAGGATTTGTAACATCAACCGTTCGACTGGTCGAATTCAAGTCAGTAGAGAACTGAAGGTTTAGAGTTCGGGGCTCTTTTGTCGTAGGAAAATCTCGTGTTCAGGGTTTAGGGCTTAAGGTAGTAGAAAGGCTTCAGCTATGTAGCAGGTATAAGAAGAATTCCGACAAGTACAGTACATAGTTAGTACTTGGGTGTTTGATCTCCGTACCACCCAGACATTCCAAAACCCGCGAACTGAGGGATATACTTTAAATCATGAGGGTTCCTTTGATAATTTACGGTATATTCCTTAATTCGGGGATTTGGAAGGTCTAGGCACTGCAGTGATGACCCAGGGGGATGCCACGATAGGTGGAACTGGCTGACACAAGCACCTGAAACGAAACGCTCGAATGCTCGAATTCCACAACACTGACGGCTAATTGGGAGCTCACAAAATGAGAGGCCCCACGCTGTAGACCGCAGAAAGTAGAACCCTTCTGGGCAAAGTAAGTCTTTCAATGGATAACCGATTTCCAGCCAGGGGTCCTGGCGCTGCTGATCGAGTGGCCACCGCTCAAACAAAACACAACGGTCCCTGGTTTTCAGATCAGTGGTTGAACCCCAGAGGCCCTCAACACCCTGAGAACAGACGTGTGAAATAAACTAGGACGTAGTAAGCTTGGCGTTCAGGGTGGCCACGTAAGGATCTAAGTACTCTGATAGGACCTCCAAGTATCCGTATAGTTACACACTTTAGGCTTGAAGCCATACTAAGTCCGACGAACCCTGAAGCCTAGACTGTCAAATCAGGCATGGCTCCAGCCGCCCTGAGATCACAGGAGCACCTTGCGACAAGCAACTTATGGCACCAGGCCCGATGCTTTTGGAAGCTGTGCCACACGCTGTCAATAGGCAAAGCCCGATGCTTATGGAGTCTGTGCCGCGAGCGTGCAATCGGCAAATGTGACATCTTATGTAGTTGTGAGCCACGGGATGTGTGCACTCTCGTGATGACTCAAGGAAACTCCTACCAAGGCGTCATTGCCGCCAAGAAAAGTCATCGAAAGCTTTGCACAGAAATAAACCAAGGCGTAATATGTCGGACTTCTGAGCGTACTTCTGTAACAGCCTTTCCGAAAACAATGACAGTACGCGTGTTCGATAGATTATGCACCAACACCAGCGACATGAAGCAGCACGGAAAAAGAGATCGCCTAAGAAGTACGCTTGACAAGTCATGCTCCGAAATAGGCGATGGCGAAGCAGAGCTTGTTTGCATTCCTTCGAAGAGAGATTGCGTGGCTATCCTGCGGCAACACGGTCGTGATATAAGAAGACTTAACTACAGTGCGTAACCTAAAAAACATCGACTATCCATGCCGCCTGCATCTACCACGTGCTGGATACTGCCGGCCAAACCTAACCATCGGTGCGGATCTCAAGCTGTGCAGGCTGCGCCCCAGTGTTCTTGCGCGCTGCAGTGTTGGACACTGGGGCTTCGCTGGCAGGAGTTGACATCCAAGCCGCCGTCTCTGCAAGAATGGCCGTCTCGCAGGACTTGATCATGTTGGAGATGTTCTCGACAGATGCCTGCTCCACGCCTGTGAGGCTCTCCCACCACGTCAATGTTTGCTCCAGGGCCTGGACCGTCCATGTATGACGTGTTGACTTCCTCCCGTAGTCTGCAAAGTCGTTCCATGCCGCACAGCATCCAGCCAAGGACACAGTGACGGTCAGCCATCGCTGCATACCAATGAAGGAGAAAACGGTTCCCACAATGGTTAAGCTGACGACCAAGATTTTGAAAACAAACTCCAAGCGTGCATTGGGAGGTACTTTTTTGCGGCTGTACTTGATGGCCATGACGACACGAAGGTCCACATAGGCATCAGGTGATATTGGAGAGAAAAACTTCTTGTAATCGTCGTCGCTCATTTCCAGTGCGCCCTCATTGCATTGCTTACTAAAGCCTCGCAAAACCTCCTTCCAAACCCTGCATAACCTCAACCATAAACCCTACACACTCAGAAACCTATGTCCTGAGCGCAAGCCGACACTATCGAATCCACCATCGGCCTGTCGGCATTACCCATAGGCCCCAAAGTAGTTCCTGTTTGGGACTACCTTATAGGATTCGATATATGAACCCCAAAAAGGATTGGGGCCTATGGGTAATCCCATGACCAGCCGAAGATGTTCATGCGTATCTGCTGCTCAACTCGAAGGCTCAAGACCCCGAAGGATCCTAGGTACCTATATGGAGGATACTTGTCCGAACCATATAATAGTAATTCCGATTATAGAGACCCGACAGAGGACCCTTGGCAAGTATGAAGCCTCGTCGAGCACACAACGATATCTGGACTTTGCCAACTGAGGTCGGTACGGAACCCTTTGTGCCCTCGACCTGGCCGTGGTCTTTGCTGGGCGTACGGCAAAATATAGGGGCCTGAATAATTCGAACGTGGCCTTGACTCTAAGGTATACTATACTATGATTATCATGGAGTCATGAGGTAGGTCTCCGGCTTCTACGAGATTTGCAAATTGCAGACTTCCACTAGTTCATCCTGCACGGATATCTCAATGAGTTCTGGTCTCCAGACTGTCCGGGCCTCTCAGGCTACACCCTAAACTACCAACTGCTGAGAAGCACTCGACCCCAGAATCATCGTTGTCATGGGTAAAACAACAACGAAATTTGACAAGAAGAATAGCGTGATGATCAAAGAGATGTAGATAGTGATCGTATTTGTGTTTACGTACACTGCTGTTGCTAGTGAGGAGAATACAGAAAAGGTAGATGATGCTGATAATGGCGACAATGACGATGACTGCAATGCGACCTGATTGGAAGTAGCGCCATCATACTGACGATCAGGCTGTTCATGTTGGTGACGAAGGTTCCGACAACAACGGAGGCCAGCATGCCGAGGGGGTATGGAGCAGGGTGCTTGAGGCCGCGGTGATGAAGATGCTCAACAAATTGATGGGAACAAGGCAGACTCATGAGGATTTGAAGATGAACTGATTGCCCGCTCAACGCTTGCATGGTTTGTGACGAGTTGCTGCTTCCAGCTTTATGTCGGCTGAGTTGACCAGCAAGCTCATAACCTGGTCGTCCGGGCAGTCAGGCATCTGGAGGCTGGACCAGTCCTCCGATGCTCAGGCCCCAGAAGAGCAAGCACACCCTGACTACACTATCGACCCTACCCTGAACCCTAAACCCAACGTTCTTGCAAAAGCTGCACAGCTCTCCATCCGAGAAACTTTCTCGAAAGTGGAGCTCTCTAAGTCCGCAGCGCTCAAGATAGCATATCTCCAGCGACTGATTTCTTCTCTCAGGGCCACTTCTGGATCACCGAGCCCCGAAATTGCAGACATGGCAAACAGGTCCACTCGAGATCGATAACGCCAAATGATCGACTTCAGCTGACATGCATGCAGTCGGAGCTGCTGCCAACGCGCCCGCGAGTTTAGCAAGGAGTTGCAAGCGACCACGATCGAGGCGGCAGAAGCCAGCACAAAACACATTTGCGTCGTCGTGGCACCCACACCCAACTCATCCCCTAGAGCTGTCAAGAAGATGATTAACCACCCATTGAGGAGCTGAGCAAACGTTAAGATCTTGCACCACTTCTTGTGAAAGTCTGCCATTCGCATTGCCACCTTGTAGTCCCTCCAGGCCCGATAAAGCAATGGCGCCGCTTCTACAGGATTCCGTTGGCAGTTGCAAGACCCCTGACCTTTTTGCTCACCATGTCCTCCAGATCATCAAACAGGTTCACATGGTATGTTTTAGGCGAAGACAGAATCAAGCGACTGCACAATATCATGGCGTCGATGTGCCTCCCGTAAGCAGTCCCCTTCAACAGCTCGTTCTCCGGAATATCTTCGTGCTTCCAACCATCGTCAGACTCCACATGCTGGTCGCCATCGGCATCTGCAGCTTGTACAAGAAAGCCCACACTTGATGGCTTCCTGCAAATGTCAGGATGAACTTGCTCGTCACCACCGTCGTGCGCTTCGATGCTTGACGGTTGTTCAACACTGTCATCATTTGGCTGTTCAGCCCCGGGCCCTGCAGTTTGCGCACTCTTGACGCTTGAAGTTGGAGGGGGATGTCTCTTGGAGATGTGCTTGTAGGTTTGCATAGTAAGAAAGCGTGCTATGTCTGAGACCTCTCTGGGGGTCGCTTTGGCCTCTTTGCAGACGGCACTGAAAAACGCGATGGTGCATGCATCGAAGGACTCAGTCTTCTTTTCCGCCTCCAAGGGCTCTCAAGCCGGCAGTAAAAGCTTCTTTCGCCTTTTTGATGGTGTCTTTGTCTCTGACAGGATCTTCGGCCGCCTTGCCTTTCTTGGCATCTTTGTTTGGAGCTGGGGTAGCCTTTTCAAGCTCCAACTTGGTTGAAGTTCGCGTGAATGTCCAACTCCTGCCTGCCTGAGAATTCATTCAGGACTATCTACCACCCAGAGGCAGTGCAAAACTCGAATGCACCCTACAACCCTAGACCCCAAAGCCCCATAGTAGTTCCTCTTTGGGGTTCATATGTACTATACGGCCTATGGGTAGACCTCAAAGCCCCAAACCCTACACTCTCCAGCTTCAGCCCCTTTAGCCATCCAGACCTTGAGATCCTCCGCCAGGTACCGCTTCCTAACATCGATCCACAAGACAGGCATGCCAGCAGATGCAAAATTGTACGCAGCCTGCAAAGTGCTTGGATCTGTCATCGCTCCTCCAATACCAGCACCACCTGGATTCCTGTCCCCCCCACCTGGCATGAACTGGTCAGGTTGGAGTACCGAGAAGAATGAAACATACGGGCCACGTAGATGTAGGAGACACTGTGCGCAAGCAAGAAATGGCGGATACTTCCGATCCCTAAGTCATAACAGATATTCCTGTTTTTGGAAACCCTCATTCTACTATGTCGGTACATGGGACCCTGTGGGTGCCGTAGCCCTAGCTAACCTCAACGCCTCCAATCCATGCCAGTCGCTTGGGGTTCGGCCGGGACTTAGGGTTTCGGGTTACCTTGTTCGGAGGCCAAACAAAAGCCTACGGCTCAACAAACAAAACGGCTGTCTTCGGAGAGTAAACCTTTTTATACCTTAAACTAAAACAGGACCCTCATATCTGTTTCGTGGTATAGTCCTTACTGAAGGGAGTTAGGAAGGCCTGAGTACCACCCTAAACCCGCAAACCTATAAACCTTATAAGCCCTACCCATGGGCCAAAGTAGTTCCTTTTTGCGGATACCTTATAGGATTCTAAATATGAACCCCAAAAAGGAACTACTTTGGGGCCTTAGGGTAAACCTGTAAACCCTAAACCTACATCCACGGTTTTCGGCTCAACTCCCGCCTGTTTTGATGGCCAACACCGGCAAGGAGCGCCACAGGAGCCCGACGAGATGATGCATCAAACCTGCAGCATGTTATTAATGTTACTAATGATAAAATCTAGACCAATAGTAAAAGTTATACGAGATATGGAACAATAAGAACCTTCATAGTACCAGTGGTAAGAATACTCATAGCAATAACAATGATATAACAATAACACTCGTAATAGGAGTAGCAGTTATTAGTGTAGTAATGATAACAATAAGAGTAATGAGGGTGCATGTTTCGGCACGATAACTCCTGAGGGCCCTGAGTCATGGAGGGTTGGGTGGGCGGGAGTGTGGTTGTGGGTGTCGGCTTCATCACGAAAGCTCCAACCTAACCGTTGTTAGTGATAGAAGGGGTTAAGAATTAGAATAGGGTTTTGGTATCATATAATGGTAATAAGGAAGGAAGCCCAAAATCGTATTGGCAATTGCTTAGGCCCCTGTAGTATCAAACGACAAAAAGAAGACTGCTGACGACCGTCCCAGAATCGATTGTAGGGACCGCACTGACCCAGAAAAGGGTCAGACTCGTTGATACGTGCACCCAGCGAATCAACGATAAGAAAGTGCACGGCACGGTCATCTAGATCGAACTCCATCTTCGGCAACTTGTGCTTCAAGTGTTGACGCCGGTTAAATGCAGATGTAAACTGGCCCAATCGATCCCTCCAGGGCTTGCACCGTTCGGCCAGCTCTCGCCAGAACAGCGTTTTCCCCTCGCCCTCTGAAGCAAACAAATGGACGAGATGAGGCGTCGTGAAAATGAGGGTGAAAGGCGGATCGCCAAGCCATCTCTGTCCACACGCGGCAACTACACGCGTCAAGGAGCTGGTCAAGGCGCACATCTTGCTTATGCCCGAGCAGAATATTAGTGCATTGGTCTCCACTGCCAGTGGCAGAATGATGTCAGCCATGAAGCGATCGAGCCGCTCCAAAGCAACGGATTCACTGTCCTGCTCAGTGAACGGTGGGTTGTTCGCAACCAGTCCTGGGAAAAGATGCGGGATGAAATGCTCGCAGGAATTCACATGTTCTGAGAAGCCTTTGGACACGCAAAGGTTTATAACCATTTTGGGCTTGCGGTGCATAGGGAACTGATCCAACAACTTCTGCATGTGCTCGGGCGACTCTGTGCACACGTCTGCCTGCGCATTGCTCAAGAAGAGCACATTACGCTCGACTCCGCGGACTACTGCTGTGGAAAACATCTCGTTGATAACATGAGCCTGAACCTTCAAGAGCTTCTCTTGGCTGGCCGCATCGGGCGATACGTCGGCAGTCGCTGGGGTGTTCTGGTCTGTCCCCAACTTGTCAGCAACTGCATTGGCTTTGAGTACATCTTGAGCCGCTGTCTTGAAGGTGAGCCTCTTCGGTGCACTGTCTTGGACTACAGATCGGTCAGCCGTACTGCCGGAAGCCGAGGACAAAGACGCCTCGTCCCGGTCTGCATCAAACTCAATGGGCCGCTTCTTCTGAAACGGCTTCTTCCCAAGAGCCTTGGCCTTCGAAGGCTTCCGCTCTGGGCTATCTTTGCCTTCCGGAACCTTTCGCTCTTCAGCTCTGGCGTTGAAAACACGCGTGCGAGAAGAGGAAGATCTGGTTTTGTCTGCGCCGACGTCCTTAAGATCTTCATCTTCGCTGGATGAAAGGATGAAGCTTTTGCCGCTGGGGGTGAGCGGCTTCGGTGACATAGCTATAGACACGAGCCAGCAAAGAACATGGTGAGTCAGCCACAGTCAGTCACATTGCCGGATCTTGGATCTAGGGCTGGGATCCGAAATTGCTGGTTGCTGCTGCTTCTAATAATAGTGATGATGCAGTGCGCCTGCCACATGCAACGTCAAGAGCGGCTGGAAATACACTGCTTTGTTTTTTTTCCACCGTCCTTCACACACGATTAGCCTGGACCCTAAACCCTGACACCACCCAAGCCGCACACTCCTCTCCGATCTGGCAATAAACTCGTCGACGGTGCAAGCAAATTTACGCCTCAAAGGCTGGTGTTGGCCTTCTTCTACCACAGGGTCCAAGTACCATTATGGTAGGTACGTAGTACCCTAAAATATATGCTATATAATTGCTTGGACCCTTTGGGCTTCTTTCCAGGACACCCATCGAGAAGGCATTATCGTCATTACAGGTGTCTAGGAGGTATTCCGGCTTTAGCAGAAAGTAGCTTTGGGTGGTTAAAGGCCAGGACTGTCGGGTAAACTATTCTGCATTCATGAGTGCCCGGGTTTGGGATTCAGGGTTTATTGAAGTGTAGGATGGCGTTTCGTGCCCTTGTGCGTGAAGATGTGGATGTCGTCGTCAGCTTGGTCCGACACACAACCATTACTGAAGTGCAACCATCCATACTGAACCCGCTATGACGTTTAAGCAGGACCTCGTGCCACAAACCGAGAACCTCGAATTACAAAAAACACTGGAATGGAGCCCCTGCTTGCAGCTATGATTGATGTGCCAATTCAAACACGGACGGAGATACAATACATATGTATATATATATATATATACATATATACATATGTAATATGCTCACACAGATGCAGCTGCAAGGAACATGAAAAACGTCCTTCAGCCACTACCATATTATGTTAGATGTTGTATAACTACCGGCTTGCTCCCTCCGAGGCCGGCGAAGCCCTGAACCCGCATGTGTGAACCCCATAAAGCCCTGTTTAGGGTTTAGGAGTTCGGATGTAGGGTTTAGGCTTTAGGGTTTAGCGCGTGAGGGATTCTTCTGTTGGGTTTGATAAACACCCAAAGGGCCCTTTGTACTGTTATGGGGGATACTTCCCTAAGTCATGACAATAATTCCTAATATGGGAGACCCTACATTCTACTATATCGGTACATATAGGACGTTTTGGGAACTTCAGAACCACACAAGGAGAATCCCTCAGGCTCCGCGTACATCTAACGTAGCCCCTACGGAGGATGATGTCCCGATGCAGTGGCTCGCAGGTGCCATCCAGAATGCTTATTCATGCTGTTACGGTCACAGTAGAAGCCCAAGAGTTTAAAGTTGGAAACCCAATAGCCTCAATCCTTATTTGAGTAGTGAAACGGGAATCCCAGCACTATTTGGCCTTGGACCGGTTTCCAACTTTACGGGGTTTACTGTATAGGGTTTCGGATTGGGGTGTACCTGGAGGGGTAGTAAGTCGTTTATACGTAGGGTTATACTTGGGGTAACTCGATTTAGGGTACTTATAACTTATAACTCTACTTATCGCCTACTTACTACGTCCCCTGCCCCTCCAAGTAAAAGAAGCTTTCTGCACAACATCATGTGGATGAAGGCTCTAATATACCCTAAATACCCACGATTAAGGGCCATAAAGGTCTCCCCTGAATCCCCAAACCATTCGTGCCAAAGCCGTGGTCCCATAGATAGACGTTTAGGCCTTTAAGGGTTACTATAACGGTTATACTATAGGGGATACTATAAGGCTTTCACCATAGGGGTTACTATAAGGGTTATGCTATATAGGGGTTACTATAGGGGCTATACTACAGGCGTTTAGGGTTCTTAGTAGGCTGTCTGCTTCTTAGTAGGGATTGGGGGAATGGGTTATCGGGAGTATTATTGGGGATTAAATAAGGACTACTACAGGGATCCAAAGTCCCCATTCCCTACTAAGCACCAGAAAGTCTATCTATAACTTGCGCTTTCGGCTTACTTGCTACGGAGTTATAAAGGTCTTTGGAGTTTCTCCTGAACCATGACACCCAAAACCTTAAACATTAAACCCAATTCCAAACTTCCCTAAACCCGAAACCCTGCAACCTGAAACCCGAAACCCTGCAACCTGAAACCCGCAACCCTGGAACCTAAACCCTGAAACCCCGGATATCCGATCCTGAAGTTCTGAGAATTGAAAAACGCCGCACTGAGCCTGCTGCCACGCGAGGACTTGTAGCGTCCCAGCCTTGGCCGCCAGGAGCATCTTGACGACCCCTAAACCAATAATGAAGGGGCCTTTAATGGTTAGAATAGGGTTCCTTTAAACGGGTCTATAAGGGATCTATATACTATAACAGAGTTCTATAATATAGGTGGCTTAATGATTAGAACAAGGTTTTGGGGTAGATTGTACTATCATTACTATCAGGAACCCCCAAAATAGTAAAACTAATTATTAAGGTCCCTATACAAAGCAGTAAGGACTGGACACAGAGCCCCTCACTCTAAGCCTTCATCAGAACCCCACACAACCACAAACCTCCAAACCTGCACTCTAAGACGTCCTGAAAAATTGAAAAACAGCCGGAATGCGAAGAGATTGCCCTAAAATTACAAGATGTGCGAGCCTGGATATTCAGACCAGGGGCCTCAAGGTGCAGGCCGGACATATCGAACCTCGAAAGCTGCAAATTTCAATACGGTTTATGATATAAATCCTAGGGTTCCTTTAAAGGGAGCTATTAGGTTACCTTTAAGGGGTTCCTTTATGGGATCTATAGGGTATTGGGGTTTAGGGATATAAATCCTGCATGGCCCATTATAAGGAATATACCATAGTTCCCATAGTTTAGAGTCCTTAGGGTCATGCAGGATTTTGTCCATCAGCAGTATGTGGGGCAGCAACCATTCGTAACCAGGAATCCCCCTTGCCACGCCTAAGTAGTAACAGGATGAAGAAGCCAAACCCTGATCAGGACCCTGTACAAAACCCTGAAGCCCTTATCAAGCAAGGATACTACCCTTCAAGCCCTGCAAAAGCCCGTTCATTCAGGTCTTCCGGTCTTCCGTTGAAGTATGCTAGCTGCTAGCTCCTCTGAACGCGAACTCCGAACAAACAAACAAGGGTGCATGCATCAGTATTTTGAAACTTCCACGCCGATTATGTGCTGCGCACAGACGTGTTGTGGATGACCTCTCCCGCTTGAATCTCTCAACACATAAGACTTTGAGAGCCCAGAAGTTCTACTGGTACCGGGCCCGTTTTGCCAACCAACTGTGCCTAGTGATGGATGCAGACTTACTACATGACAACCCCGCAACCCTAGAATCCCCAGACTCTCCCAACCAGCGCAGACATTGAATTAGTCAGCCGCACAGCGCCGAAAGCCAAGACTCCGAACTGGACGTTGGACCCTGAGCCCCACTCAGAGGCCCGGGACTGAGTAAGTAGGTTATAAGTAGAGCTATACGTCTCCATGACCCTACTTATAACCGACTTACTAAGTAGCGTGGGCCTCCAAGCAAGTCCAGTAACACAAAATGACCACGCACTGAGCCCCAAACCCCACCTCTTGAAGCGATCCCCATAAGAGCCTCCCTTTAAGGGTGTGTTTTCAAGGGCTCTACTGTCCTACGAGAGGTATAAAGTTCCCATGCAGTTCTGAGTTACTGTAATACTTAAACGGGTTCCCTTGCAAGGGTTCCATTCTCATTTCAAGGTTCCTTGAAAGAGCTTTCCGGGATCCAGGCGATTCGGGGCTGCGCCAGGTCGGCACTGCGCTTTTCCCAAAACAGCAGCTGTCCAGATTGAGCCCGAGCCAAAGGACGTTGAAATCAGCTTGTCTCTTCTTCAACAACCGGGCCTCAACAAGTACAAACTTTCAAAGATAGAGCTATATAATATGTAAAGCCCAAAGTTTAAAGTTCCCCTGCTATCTAAGGCTTCTTAGGGGAGCAGGGAGGAGGGGCGGGGGTCTTGCTCAGGCTTAGGGATCAGAGGGGTTTATAGAGATCGGGTGCTATGACGGCTTTCGAGGTTGCACGAAGAAGAAGCTGGCATTGGGCTTGAGGTTCGCCTCAACCCTAAATGAACCAGCTTTTTGTAGGTCTGCTTAGTGCGACTTCCTTCATACCTGTCCTTCATTTTAGGGCTCATAGTCATTCGACGGGTTTGGAGGGTTGCAATAGGATTTCGTGGGCCTTGGGGCCATCAGCTCACAGCTGGGTTTACCCAAAGGGTCCTATGTACCGATATAGTAGAATGTAGGGTTCCCATATAAGGAATTACTAGAATGACTTGGGGAAGTATCCCCCATAACAATACATAGGACCCTTTGGGTAAGGATCATGGGACTTAGTAAGTAAGGTTATAAGTACTTTAATTGGGGTTATAAGTAGTTATACGTATAGTTACCCTAATAACAACCCAAAAAACTAAGTCCCATGATCCTTTAAGTAGAAGGCTTCCCGGAGATTGATTTAGGGTTTAGGGGTTTTCAGAGTTACCCTAGTTAGGGTTAGGGTTCCGTTACGAGTTCGAAGGTTCCGACGTCTCGACCTAATACTAGTAATAATAGTCATAATAGTAATAATAGTAATAATAGTAATAATAGTAATAATAGTAATAATAGTAATAATAGTAATAATAGTAATAATAGTAATAATAGTAATATAGTAATGATAGTAATGATAGTAATAATAGTAATAATAATAGTAGTCATTCGAAATAATAGTACCAACGGTAACCTTCAGTGGAGTGTGCACCGATGATAACCCTCCCAAACAATCCTGTGTACTGTTATGGGGGATACTTCCCTAAGTCATAACAGTCATTCCTAATATGGGAACCCTACATTCTACTATATCGGTACATAGGACCCTTTGGGTAGGGTTTCGCGTAGGCTGTTCGGATCTGTTGGCCTTGAGGGCAGCGTGTGGATGTTGAAGGCTTAGGAAGCTTAGGCTTTACCTACAGTCTCCATTGTAGTTCCTTTTTGGGGG